AAGTAGTCTAGGGTCAACTCAACTCGACTTTTTATGTTTAAAGATATTAATGCCATCATAATCATATCCATGCGTGGCATATAATTATGGAAAGTGCTACATGTACATAATTATTTATTTAATAGTATCCATAATTACACGTAGCACTGAATTTTGCTAAGTTGAATAGAAGAAGCGAAAAGAATAATTTTAAGCATTTCTTACGCAAAAATTCAAAATTTGTATGTTCAACATTAATGTTTTGTTTGTGTAAAATTATTAAATGGAAATTGATTACAATGATATCATTATTGTTTACTGTAAGGATCATGCTACACGACCACAAAGTTTGACACAACACACTCACATAAGAGGTCTGCATTATTTTATTCTCGTGGGATCCACGCCTCGGCTGTGAGTGCTGTGTCAAACAATGTGGTCATTTGGTTTAATCCTTACTGTAAAATGTATTTTTACTTTTATACATTATGTGGTATTTTCAATTTTTTTGGAAGAAAATATATTCGCTGTAGTTATTTTAAAATGAAAAATAAATTAATTCTATTAAATCTCAAACTTATAAAATTACAGAATAAAAGCATAATCCCTATATTAGAAAAGGAATTAATTTAAATAATAAGAGTTAGGAGTTGGTATTTAATTATAAATAATAACAATAGAAATTAGGCTCTAAAATCAATTAGAAACTAAATAAAATTGTATTAGAAAAAATAACTCTTTGTATTTAAGAAAAAATAGTATATCCTACCATATTTAGAAACTAAAAAAATAACTTAAAAAATAATTATTAATTTTAGTCAACATATGTGACCATAATATTCTATATAAGGTTGGGTGGCTATATGTTGTTTAATTAATGGAACTATTAGATGGTCGGTCACATAACATTGAAAATGACCATTTGCTTTTATTTTAAACTATTCAATCTATTATTTAAGAAAAAATAGTAATCCGAATAATATGATTAATTATACAATTTTTGTAAAATAATAATAATAATAATAATAATAATAATAATAATAATAATAATAATAAAAACGATAAAGTCTTATCCTTTTATTGTATAACAAGTGTTAATGATAGTAATAAATATTGAGGCTTGTTGGATATTGTAAAATTCAAAAACCCTATCGAATTTCAAACGGTTCTTAATATTTTTGAAGAATAGTATAACAAAAAATCGATGGCATCTAATGATGCTTAATGCCCTTTTAGTAGGAGTTCTGCTTTTATTTTTACCTTTTGCAGAAGAACTTTTCGACAAAATTACTCTAGGAAAATGCTATATGTACATGTTGTTTTTTTTTAAACATATGAGATTACAGGTGCTGAGTGGACAAGATTTAACCTTCTTTTTTTTTTGGTCCAAAATAGCGTGAAATCTTTTCAGCTAAGCAGTCTTTAAACCAAGTGATAAACCAATACAAGTAGCTTTTCTCATTACTTTAGGTCAAATTTCTTTAAAAGCTCTACTAACCAACAAAATATTTTTAGAAAATTATTCAAACATGTTCAAAAGTAGCTTCTTAGTCTCAGAAGTAGCTTTTAACTTTCGAAAGTTATAATAAACCAACCTTTGTATTATTTCAATTTAGAAATTATAATCGTCTTAAAATTTTTGTATTGTCATATTGCTAAGAATACACCAAATATACATAAAATTGAAGAAGATTTTTATCAGGAGTGCTAATTTGTTGACGTCAAAATCTACCGAGGCTCGAGATGAACGGAAATCTTATCAAGTCAACGTTCGGAGAGAGAGATGGAGTGTGTCTGTGTGTGTTAAACTAAAATGCAATTGAGCATTTTTCTAATTATTTAAACACATAGATAAACTATTACACATCAAAAAGATCTTTCTCATCAACTAAAGAGAGTTTTATTTCTCAGACACATACCTGAAAAAAAAAATGCATGCAAAAAGGCTATGACTTACGGTTTCTAGGTTTTTGTTTCTGTGAAGAAACTGGCTTCCCAAATATGCCACAAATTCCACAACCAGAGGCCTTCGGAGACGGCGGATCGACTGCCGGTGTAACTGTCCTACACCGATATGCATTACCTCCGTTCGATCGACTGTGTGTAATCGCGGGTTTCGACTCAATTCTTGGTTCGTCGTCGTCGTTGTTGTTTTCGATCTTCTTCACCTCCAAAGTTAACTTGTCATCCCATACCAACCCTGATGAGCCTTGCCTTCTGAAGGACATTTCTGACCTTTGTAAACCAGTCATTCTCCCTCTTCTCTCTCTCTAACACCAGAAGATAAACAACTATAAGATCAATGAGTATACCTGCTCTGTGATTGATCCTTTAGGGTTTAATATGAAAAATGGTTAGACTTATTCTTCTGTATTATTTAATAAATGGCAATTATAAAATGACAAATGAAGAATATTAATAGAGCAGTTGAGGTTAAAAGAAGGCATCTATTTGTTTTTATTAAACTGCTAATTTGTCATAGGATTAGAGATGTTGCTCAACAATTTAAGAGCATAAACTGCTGTATGATATGTAATTAGTAATTACTAAATGCCATTTACAGTTAGTGTACTACATTCGCAACAACTATGCTTTTGTCTAGTGTGAATCTAGCAATCGTACTTCATTTTTATTCAATCGGTTAACTCCGTCTAATTTCATCACTTAGATTGATGAAAATATATTAATTGGTGGTCGATAAATGAAGTCCCGCCATTTATCTCATTCAAGTTGTACATATTTCACGTTAGCAACTAAATTTACGTTTGATGACTATTATTTTTTTTTTATGAATAATGTTATATGCAGTTGCTCACTACCACTATCGTCCTACATGGCGGTTATTAATTTGATGGGAAGTGCTACATGTACATAATTATCTACATAATGATGTCCATAATTACACATGGCACTGGATCCAACCTCTAATTCAAATCTCACACTTACACATCAACAACCGGATGATTGCCACATCACATTATAAACACCATTATGTGCAATAATTATGTACAAGTAGAATTTTCCTAATTTGATACATGATGCAATAAAAAACTACCATATTAATACATCAAATTATCAACCACCACATGTATGCCACGATGGATAAAATGGTAGTGAACAACAGCAAATAACATTACTCTTTTCTTTTTCTTTTCTTTTTTTTATTGCATCATCGATTGCTATAAATAGAATAAGACAATGTGTCTCAATAAAGTGCAGTAACTCGATTAAAATAATGAAAGTATATTTATATTATTGAAATCATATTAAAGTATGAGTGCCCTATTAAACACAATTGAAGTCCAATTACCTTATTAAACACTAAATTATAACTACCGCAAATGAAGTTAACAAAAAACGACGCAAGTTAAAGAAAAAACAAGGTCAAGTTTTACATAGCCCTTTTTGTATCCATTATTTCAAAAACAAAATAGTTCTGAATAGTAATATTAGAATTACGTGTAAAATATTTTATTGTATGAATGTGTAACTATAAATAATTCTATAGCAAAAAGAATTTTATAACAATGGATGTGACAGCAAAGTGGAGTTCTTAATTAATATTACCAAGCATGGTTTATGAATAATGCTATATGCAGTTGCTCACTACCACTATCGCCCTACATGGCGGTTATTAATTTGATGGGAAGTGCTAAATGTACATAATTATCTACATAATGGTGTCCATAAATACACATGGCACTGGATCTAACCTCTAATTAAAATCTTACACATCAACAACCGGATGATTGCCACATCACATTATAAACACCATTATGTGCAATAATTATGTACAAGTAGAATTTTCCTAATTTGATACATGATGCAATAAAAAACTACCATATTAATACATCAAATTATCAACCACCACATGTATGCCACGATGGATAAAATGGTAGTGAACAACAGCAAATAACATTACTCTTTTCTTTTTCTTTTCTTTTTTTTATTGCATCATCGATTGCTATAAATAGAATAAGACAATGTGTCTCAATAAAGTGCAGTAACTCGATTAAAATAATGAAAGTATATTTATATTATTGAAATCATATTAAAGTATGAGTGCCCTATTAAACACAATTGAAGTCCAATTACCTTATTAAACACTAAATTATAACTACCGCAAATGAAGTTAACAAAAAACGACGCAAGTTAAAGAAAAAACAAGGTCAAGTTTTACATAGCCCTTTTTGTATCCATTATTTCAAAAACAAAATAGTTCTGAATAGTAATATTAGAATTACGTGTAAAATATTTTATTGTATGAATGTGTAACTATAAATAATTCTATAGCAAAAAGAATTTTATAACAATGGATGTGACAGCAAAGTGGAGTTCTTAATTAATATTACCAAGCATGGCATACAGTTGTTGTCGCTACAATATAATTTTAATTTCTTTATTCTTTATCAATATTATCTAGTATACAAAACTAGACATAGTCAATTTTAAGATCATTTCTTAAAAAAAGCTAAGGAAATTTTCAAAATACACCATTTATGTAGGGTGCTATCATACTTCACAGAATCACATACCATATTTTACATATTTACATTTTGGAAATTGCTCAGGGGACTTACCAACCCCTCACTGTAGGGGTTGGTCCCACATGAAAAAAACAAAAAAAAAATACGCTAAGACCCACAACTATGAGTAATCTAACAAGGGTCTATAAAACAAACCCTATAAGTATAGCAAGTCTCTTACATTTCACTTGGTACATTTTGCATAATAGTTACAAAAATCACATTTCGCTGAAAATTTTTAAATGTCATTATAAATAGTGAAACACATTATTTTTTCATACCAATATTATTTTGTATATAACGATTTATAAATTTATTGTCTACTCTTCCTAAATCTAAAGTCAAATACCTAAAATTAATTTTAATAAGTTAAGAAAATACTTCTTTTGACTCAACATTGTCAAAACAAATAAAAATTCTTAAGAATGCAATTGCAATTTTATTAATATCTTGTACACAAATTTCTCTCTCTTTTTTTCAAGTTTCATAAAAAAAGAATAGTCTATAAATTTTGAGTTAATTTATAAAATAATGCTTACACCTCAAGGTGTACACACGAAATTCACACCCCTCTCATATGGAATGGGGCCCCACGCATATTTTATTGTGAGTGTGTGTCCCTCCATGTGAGGTGGTATATACCCGTGTGTACACAGTTATTTACCCGTAGCATTATCCCAATTTATATAGGGATTATAAATTACTCCTAGACCATCCCAAACATGCCATTCAAGTGTATAACTA